AGTCGGGAGGTCACGTATGGGGGCGCGTCAGCCAAACGACTGAATGGACCCAATGACCTGCTCTCAACCCACTTTGGATGTGAGCCGGGCTGGGCGGGTGGGGAGGAACCGGATCCTCTAGGCCCGCCCCTCTGCCCGCCCCCTCGCCCTCCTCAGCCATTGGGTAATTCCTCTGTCCGTTAAGGGTCCGCCTCCTCAGGTGAACCAATAAGGGCAGGCGAGAGGAAGCTTCCTTCTGGAGTTGCACCAGCGGCGCTCAGAGGAGGCCGGGGCGGCGGCGGGCGCGGCGCGGTGCGCAGGAGCGGTCCGGGCGGGACGGATCCCGCGGCGGAGGCTCGAGCCGGTGAGAGCAGCGCGAAGGTCCGCGGTTGGGAAGGGGACGTGCGCGGGGTCTGGACGCTTCTCACCCCACCGGGCCTCGCGGGCGGGCCGTCTGGGCCTCCCACGCTCGCGGCGTCGTCTCGGGTGATGGGGTGAGAGCGGAGGTGAAGCGAGGTGAGGTCAGATGAGGTGAGGTGAGGGGGCGGGCCGCCGCCACGGTCATCCCACTCGCGCCACGCGCCACGTGGGCTTGCGCCTAGCCTAGGACCCTTGCTGCGCACCAGGACACTAGCTAGCTACTTTTTTTTCTTCTTTCCCTACTTACCTACTTTTAACCCCAGGGGTAGCTCTGAGAGCTGGGCGTCTCGACTCAATCTTCTTTTACCGGCTGGGAAGCTGGGGCTCGGCGATGGGGCCGCGGCCGGATTTGAGGGAGATCTGGGCTGGGTCGACTCAGGAGGCTGCGCTCTTCTTATCTATGAAACCGTGGGTCAGAGACTTGAACTTGGGACCCGTTGGCTTCTTTGAGGGATCGGGGCTCTCGCTGCCTGGCTTCTCCGGCGGACCCGGGGCGGGGGGGAGGCGGGGGGACGGGGCAGGCGCCCTCTGTTCACCCGGACCCTCCGCTCCTGCCCCGAGGTCAGCCAGGTGGGCTGCGGGGAAGAGGACGATCCTCCGTTCTGCGAGCTCTTCGGATACCCCAACAGACAGACGTGGCGGGGGGCGGGGGGGGGCAGGATCCATAAGCGGAATCCGAAAACACGTGGGAAACGCGCTTTCTCCTGGGTCACCCGAGGAAAGAGAAAATAGAGCAGCTTTTGTTGTCGCTGCCCAAGAGAAAAATACCACCAAAGGCTGTTGAAGGTGCTAGGAAACTGTTCTCCTTCGTGCCTTTGCAGAGGCGGATGCGAACCTTTTGGGAATTAGTTGGGCAATATGCATCTGCAGCCTTTGACCTGCTAATTCCTCCTCGCCTGAGAAGTAAGTAGGATGAAACCTAAGTGGGTTGATGCATAGGGTAGGAAGGACAGTGTGGTGTTTTATAACTAGCAGTGGAAATGACCTTCGTATTTCCAACAATAGGCAATAGTTAAGTAAATTGTGATTGCTTATGGCAAAAGGTAATATTAGGCATCCATGAAACGTAATATGGACAAAATGTTCTTAAGTTGTGGTTGCAACTGTATGTGTGCAGAATGACTGGAGAATAATACACCTAATGATAAAAGTAATAACTCCTTTTTTTGGAGCAGGAGGGTCATATTTCATAAGTCCTCACAAAACCTTCAGAGACTAGTATTCCCATCCCACCAATGGGCCACTGGAGCTCAGGCAGTGTGTCTGTCTGATGCTAGACAGCTAGTGTGATGCCTAGAGTGCAGTTGGACCTTTTAAAAATCCACATGTAGCCCTAACCTGTTTGGCTCAGTGGATAGAGCGTCGGCCTGCGGACTCAAGGGTCCCAAGTTCGATTCCAGTCAAGGGCATGTACCTTGGTTGCGGGCATAACCCCAGTAGGGGGCGTGCAGGAGGCAGTTGATCGATGTTTCTCTCTCATCGATGTTTCAAACTCTCTATCCCTCTCCTCTCTGTGGAAAAATCAATAAAATATATATATTTTTTTAAAAAATCCACATGTAACCACAGCTGGTTTGGCTCGGTGGATAGAATGTAGGCCTGTGGACTGAAGGGTCCTGAGTGTGATTCCAGTCAGGGGCATGTGCCTCGGTTGCAGGTTCCACAGCCCCAGTCAGCGCACGTGGGGAAGGCAACCAATCGATGTGTCTCTCTCACATCGATGTTTCTCTCTTTTTCTCTGCCCCTTTTCCCTCCCTTCCACTGTCTCTAAAAATCAATGAAGCCCTAGCCCAGTCGTCGGCAAACTGTGGCTCGAGAGCCACATGCGGCTCTTTGGCCCCTTGAGTGTGGCTCTTTCACAAAATACCCCGTGCGGGCGCGCACGTACAGTGTGATTGAAACTTCGTGGCCCATGCGCAGAAGTCGGTATTTTGTGGAAGAGCCACACTCAAGGGGCCAAAGAGCCGCAGTTTGCCGACCACTGCCCTAGCTGATTTGGCTCAGTGGATGGAGCGTTGACCTGTGGACTGAAGGATCCATAGTTCAATTCCAGTCAAGGGCACATGCCTGGGTTGTGGACTCGATCCCCAGTAGGGGGCGTGCAGGAGGCAGCTTATCAATGATTCTCTCTCATCATTGATGTTTCTATCTCTTCCTCTCCCTTTCTCTCTGAAATCAATAAAAATATATATTTTTTTAAATCAATGGAAAAATGTCCTCGGGTGAGGATTAATCCTCCCAAAAATCCACATTTAGCCAATATTTAAAGGCTTGTTGTATTGCCAGGTACAGGGCTGGGACCTAGAGAGCCACTGGTAAGGCAGCCATAGTTCCTGAATTCATGGAGCTTACAGACTAGTGAGAAAGCAGATTTAAATAAATGTGTAGTCTGCTGGGAAGAGTGAACATGGGAGCTAGGCACTGGGCTCTAGCAAGAGGAAGGATTTGGGAAGGAGAGGAAATGGGGATCCCTGGGTCAGCTGTGAGGAATGAGTGAGCTCTGTGGGGAAGCCCACGGTGGCTCTGTAGGAGTGGAGAGTGTATACAAACCCTGTTTTTCACATTTTTCTGGGATGTGTTTATGTGTTATAATGGGAGGTAGAGAGACTTGCTTAGGTATTTTGAGTTTAGTGAGCTCTTTTAAATAGTTTATCTTAAATCACTTTTGCTCAGGATAGTAGCAAATTAAGTGTTTTCAGAAGTCATTATTGAGAAATTAAATTTGAAACTTTAAAACTCTTTAATTTTCAGGTTTAAAAAAATACACCCTTTTGCTGAAGGAACACATTTGCTGGTATAGTTTCAGAATGTCAAGTCCTGTGTCCTACTGGATCTTAAATTCTGCAAGGAACAGCATTGCCACATTACAAGGGGGCAGGCATTTATATTCAAGGTGTGTCTCAAGTAGGAATAAATCAAAAAGGACGCTCTTTCCCTGGGTATCAAGCACCCTAAAAAACAATGCCCCGTGTGGTGACTTTGCTCTGCCGAAAGCCTACAGACACACATCGACAGAGGAAGACGATTTCCACCTGCAGCTCAGCCCTGAGCAAGTAAATGAAGTGTTGCGAGCTGGTGAGTCAGCCCACAAGATTCTTGACCCCGTCAGCGGAGTCCCAAATTCAGTGTTGCGGTTTGAGAGCAACCAGCTGGCTGCCAATTCCCCAGTGGAGGACCGGCGAGGTGTGGCCTCCTGCCTGCAGACCAATGGGCTGATGTTTGGTGTCTTTGACGGACATGGTGGCCATGCATGTGCTCAAGCAGTAAGTGAGAGGCTCTTCTACTACGTGGCAGTGTCACTGATGTCTCAGCAGACCTTGGAGCAGATGGAGGAAGCGATGGAAAGCATGAAGCCCATGCTGCCCATCCTGCAGTGGCTCAAGCACCCAGGGGACAGTATCTACAAGGATGTCACATCAGTGCACCTTGATCACCTCCGGGTCTACTGGCAGGAGCTGCTTGACCTGCACATGGAAATGGGACTGAACATTAAGGAAGCATTAATGTACTCCTTCCAGAGACTCGATTCTGACATCTCGCTGGAAATCCAGGCCCCTTTGGAAGACGAGATGACAAGGAACCTTTCCCTCCAGGTTGCTTTCTCTGGGGCCACAGCTTGCGTGGCCCATGTTGATGGGGTTCACTTGCATGTGGCAAATGCTGGTGACTGCCGGGCCATCCTTGGTGTCCAGGAGGACAATGGCATGTGGTCTTGTCTGCCCCTTACCTGCGACCACAATGCCTGGAACCAGGCTGAGCTGTCACGGCTGAAGAGGGAGCATCCTGAGTCAGAAAACAGGACAATCATCATGGACGACAGGCTGCTGGGCATCCTCATGCCCTGCAGGGCATTCGGAGATGTCCAGCTGAAGTGGAGTAAAGAGCTGCAGCGCAGTGTCCTGGAGAGAGGCTTTGACACCGAGGCCCTCAACATTTACCAGTTCACCCCCCAGCACTACTACACTCCACCCTACCTGACTGCTGAGCCTGAGATCACATACCACAGGCTGAGGCCCCAGGATAAGTTCCTTGTGCTGGCGTCAGACGGCCTATGGGACGTACTGGACAATGAGGATGTGGTGAGGCTGGTGGTGGAGCACCTGAGTGAAGCAGGTCGGCACAAGCCAGACCTGGCCCAGAGACCAGCCAACCTGGGACTCATGCAAAGCCTGCTGCTGCAGAGGAAAGCCCAGGGGCTTCACGTTGCCGACCAAAATGCAGCCACACGTCTGATCAGACATGCCATAGGGAGCAATGAGTATGGGGAGATGGATCCAGAACGGCTGACCGCAATGCTGACATTGCCGGAGGACTTGGCGAGAATGTACAGGGATGATATCACTGTCACTGTGGTGTATTTTAACTCAGACTCAATTGATGCATATGATAAGAGAGGTTAAGAATTTCTCATCCTATTGCCAAGGTTCATTTAAATGCTCTCAGATATTTTCACTTATTCTTAAACTGGCTATTCAAACCTGTTAAAAGGGTAGTCAGGTGTAGCTTGCTTAATAATAGACTAATGTGAAAAGAAAAGAAAAGAAAACAAGCAGCCCAAGTTTAAAAACAATAGCGGTGATTTCATGCCCCTGGGTGTTTTGGTCACCTCTTCTAAGCAGAGAGGGCAGAGCATAGAGACATAAATTTGCTTGGGCTCATGTAGCCCAGGTCCTTTTATAAAGAAACTGTTGTTAAACTGTCAGCTTGACCCTCCAAATGGTAAATATTTTTTTAAAATATGTTTTTATTTATTTTAGAGAGAGGGAAAGGGAGAAAGATAGAAACATCGATGAGAAAGAAACATCAATTGGCTGCCTCCAGCACACCCCAAGCCCGCAACCCAGGCATGTGCCCTGAACAGCAATCGAACCCAGGACCTCTTGGTTCATGGGTCGATGCTCAACCATTGAACCACCCTGGCTGGGCTCCAAGTGGTAAATTTAATCACAATTCTAAACATGAAGAACTTCAGGATCTTCTGAGGTTTTGCTGCAAAACTGCAAACTTGATCATTTTCCTCAATTCATAATCGTGAACTTCTAGACTATGAAGGGAGGTTTAGTTTGTTTGATTGTTTTAATTACTAAGAGCTAGGTTTACAAAGGATATTACAGAACACTTTTCTATGCAATATTCTAACCTTTCTCATGATTATACTTGTGAAAACACTTTGCAGTGCTGCATTCTAGTCCTATTTTAGCTTATTTTAAAACTGAGTCTCAAACTTGCAAACAGGCCTGCTGTCAGCATGCTTGGAATGACCTGTCTTGATTTCCAGCTGAGGGTGAGAGGGGCTAGGCCTCTGGACCAGCGGAATTTACTTGTATGGCTTTTGGTTCCTTCCACTGGGTCCTATCCCCTGAACTTTTGAGCCATACTAGGAGGTAACTTCTGTCTAAGCCTTAACTTCTGGCCTTTCCTGCATTAATATTGTCTCCAGGGTTTAAACCTCTGGGGGTTTAGTCATAAACCAGTTAGCCATTCTGGTTATACCTCTCAAACATTCTTCTGTTAATTCCTGTCTTTTCTATGCTAAGCTCCCTCATCCTGCTGCTTCTAATTGCAAAGAATGCTTCCATTTCACATGGTTGCAGGGAAGGAGAAAATGTGCTCTCCTTGTGTCAGCCGATTAGGCAGGACTGGTTTGTTGCAGTGGATTATAGACTTAAGATTTAGCCTGAATCTGGAGAGGTGAAACAGGAAGGACCTGAGAGTAGTCATTAACCACGGCTCCCCGGCTCCCCGTGTGCATCCCGAGGCAGTGGAGAGGGGGGCAGAGGGAGATTTGTCAGATGGGACACTTGCCCCTAGAATGTGGGATAAATCACGTTGCTTCTCCTCAGGAACTGGACCATATATAGAATAGAGAGGGGGCAAAAATAAATGTAACCTGTAATGACTTCTGTGGGCTGCACAGACTGTCAGTTGGAAAATGAAACCATGTGGATCCTTTTTTGGGAGGTGAGTTTCATGTGATGAATTATGGTGGCATTTAAACAACAGGAAATGTGTCCCTAAATGGAAACACAAATAAAATCCCACAAAACTGACATTTTTATCTTCCTGTACTATATTAGTTGATCCCTCTCCTCACCTCACCCCCTCGTGCCATGCACTGAAAGAAAAGCAAATAACTAGGATTGACTTCCTCATGTTTGTCCATGTCCCAGAGACATTCATTCCAGTGTTGGTATACTTCTAGCTTGGGGGTGTTTCCCTGTAGGTTTTCAGTACAACTGGTTAGCAATAGGACTTCATTTTAAGAAGTTCTCTTTTGAGTGCTTAAGCCTTGGTTCTTTTATTCTGAAGCCATTAGTATTCCTTCTAATCTAGATCTTAACTCAGAAGTAAAACGTGAATCACTGCCATTCTGCTCACCTGAAGGTTTGTTGCTAGAGCCGAAGACTGCTTGTCTGACAACCTTTGCTCTTCACGCCCACTAAACCCTGGTGCACCCTTGGAGCATTTACTTGAATTACAGAGCATGAATCCTGTTTTGGAGCCAGCATGGTCATAAATGTATCCGATTCCGTAACTTGTGGGACAGCCAAGAGAATACAGACATCCCAGCTGTTTCTCCAAGCATATGTTTTTTTCTCTGCCTAATAGATTTCCTGCTTTCTAATTAGTATATTGAAAGAAGAAAGGCCAGTGTATTGTCTGCCTTTTCCACTGTGAACTCTTATTAGCTCTTTTTTTTTTTTTAAGGTAAAGATTGACTTTTATTTTTTAATATATTTTTATTGATTTTAGAGAGGAAGGGAGAGGGAGAGAGGAAACATCAATGATGAGATAGAATCATTAATTGGCAGCTTTCTGCACTCCCCACACTGGGGATTGAGCCAGCAACCTGGGCCTGGGCCCTGACCAGGAATCGACCCATGACCTCCTGGTTCATAGGTTGACACTCAACCACTGTGCCATGCCGGCTGGGCTCTTGTCACCCCTTTCCCTGAATGCTCCAAGGGGTGCCTCCTGGTTTAACCCCAGGGTGTGTCTCCCTGCCCACAGTTCTGCTGTCATTGACCTTCCTGAAACACATGGGCTACTGCTAGACATCGGGGTTGAGAAGGGGTTGGTGGTACTTGTCAGGTCTTCCAAAGTATTTATCATTCCTTTTATAAAGATTTCAATTTTGAGACTTCTAAAATGAAAAAGTAAGATTGAACATTTAGTATTTTGGTTGTGACTTTGGAATAAAGTATGATTTGGTGCTTTAAATTACATACTCATTATTTTAGGTAAGAAACTGGTAATAAGTGGCCTAATTAGATATTTTACATGTAGATAAAATACGTCTCTACTGATTCTGGGGATTGGTCAAAATGGATAGGGAAGATGGTATTAGTTCAAATTAGTATGCTAGGTCAAGATACTTAGATTCAGTTTTCTGAGCTGTTAATTGTAACATTAAAGCTAATTTATTATAATGAAAATGTAAACTTTGAGGTATGTTAACTTATAGACATTTCACCCAGAAGTATGATCGGGCTAAAAGATCCCTAATATTGGGCACACTGGGTCAAGTTTGGGTTAGACACAATTGATTTGGCTGGCACCTTTTACACATAGGTGAAATATAAACAGTTCACACGAGTTAAAGAAGAGAATAAGGTATGGAACAAGAAAATGTGTCCTGCATGAATCTGGCTGACTTGACTCTTACCCATTAGCCCTTGATGACAATTTGGGGAAGTCTTAACTTCCCAGGTTACAACAGAATGCCCTGGAACTGAGCCATTCTAGTTTCATCTTTAAAGTGGTTTATTTGTCCCAGAATGTGACTCTTTCCCATGACAGAAGAAGCCCCAGTGCAGCTTTGGAGCTGGGGTATAAAGGCTGGTGGCACTGCTTGTCCTGCTGCCATGCGCGTCACTGAGTGGAAAGCACGTTTGGACTGTGGGACCATCTGAACAAGCTGAGGCTCTGTTCTTTGCGCCTCGAGCACCTAACGTTTAACCTGCCTCCTGGGAAATATTTCTTAAGCATTTGGAAAAATTATTAACCAACTTCTTTAATATCTAGTGACACTTGTATTTAAGCTGTATACCAATGTTTGTATTTTCTAGCCATTCGAGATATTTCAACTTGTAAATAAAAAAGGCAAAATGAAATTCCGTTTCCTTCGGTTTGAATATTAATTTTTTTAGGTCCTGATGGCATTAGATGAGGCCAGCCTTTGTTTCTGGCCGTGGAAGATTTTAGTCTGTTCAAGAATCCACTAGGGGGTGGGGAGGAGGAATCTACCCAAAAGAGAAGTGTTCTCTGCAAACTTGTTGGCTGCTGACCACACAGGAAGTCCTCATTTAGTATTAACCATGTGGGGACCTGAAAAGAAAGAAAAGTGAAGGCTTTTGTTGTGTCTCCATACACTCAGTGCCCAGGCCTGTCTGCTGGCATTTCATATTATTTAACTCAGCTTGTTAAATCTTAAATGTATGTTAATCTTAAATGCAGAGCCAGCTTTGGGGGAAAATCCAGGCAGGTACCTAGATAGAGTTAAGCACCCCACTCCATCTCACCCCCACTAACAGCTAGATTTCATTGCCTCTATAGGGATACAGCTCATCAGGGCAGCTCCAATGGGTACTTCTTAAATTGCAAATACATTATTATTAGTTATCAATGGTATGAACATTAGTCATTGATACTTAACAGTGGGGCGCATTTGAGGAAAGTCTACAGCGCATGCACTCCTCCCAATACTGGGCTCTCAGAAAGGGATAGTAATTCACAAAACATTGCCCAGTCTTGGCCCAGGGTGGTTGGGGATGGGGCAGAGAAGCACTGAAAAGAAGCTAGATATACTTTACATACATGTTTCAATATCCCATCATTTTGGAACGTGATAAAAACAGAAGGAAAACAAATTTAAAAAATTAAGCTCTTTGAGCTTTCTAACTGGAGGGTGAGGGGGCTTATACTGTTCCTTAAATCTCTAGAGTTTTTGGTTTCATTTTACTTGATGCTACTAAATGCCCTTAAGTAGTTCCCAGGCTGGTGATCCTCTGAATCGCGAGTGGCTGGCGCTCCAAGCAGCTACCTCTGGGGTGGGTAAGCCTTTACTGGACTTCTGTGGATCAGAGTATCTTTACTCCTTTGGCCCCTGACCTGATTGCTCCACATGGGAAATCGCCTGTCTGGGAGGAGCATGTGGGGAGCGAGGGGGCCAGAGTTCCAGTGCTGACCTTCGCTGGCAAGGGAATACGTTGGCTGAACTCGTTACTTACCCTCAGCCCCTGGAAAAGCAGTCTGTGGAGGGACTTTCCAAAGCTGGCTCTATGTCAGACCTTAACTCTCCCTGCCTTTCCGGGATTCTGGAAAGCCCTCACTGGCCCACCCCCATTCCCCCTGCAGCAGATGAACAGAAGAAATGTGTGCCATGAGCTGCTGCTCTGTCCACCTCGCACAAACCTTACGGGCAGCAGAGCCAGGCATGCAGAGCTGGCCAGGGATGGCCCCATCCAGCTGGGGCCGAGAGGACCGTGATACTGGGCACAATGGGAATGCAGGGGGGCAGCCCAGGGAAAGGAGCACAGGGGTGAGTCCGGTCCAGCAGGTCTGGGGACAGGCTCTGAGGGCACTGAGTTGCCGTGAAGGCTGAGGGAGAGCTAGCCTGATGTGGCTGGTGGGCAAGAAGGAGCCCCTCAGGTGGTCTCCAGGAATGAAGACGTGAGCAAGGCCGTGCGGCGACCTCAGCTAGGATCATGGACATGTCTTGCTCTTCATCAGCAGGGAGGTGGGGTGGGGGCAGTACAGAAAGTCCTACGTCAGTCCCCCCCACTTTCCTTGCAGTGTGATGACCAGGTGCTGTCGACATGTGTCCTGTTTTTCTCCTCCCCACCCTCATACCTGCAACATCAACATCAGACTCAGCACCCTGCCCAACTGGCTGTAGAATGAATGAGGAAGGATGGGGGGACAGAAGGATGGATGGATGGATGGATGGATTGATGGATGGATGGATGATTGAGAGGAACAGGTAAAAAGGAACCAGCAAAAGAGAGAGAGGTCAGAGAGGCAGGAGAGGAAGTAAATGGTGGCATGGAAGTGAGGAGGGAGGTGAGGAGTGTCTAGTACCAGAAAAGACCATGGGTATGGACAGATGGAAATGAACAATTAGCTAAAAAAGGATTGCTAAGAAAAGGTGAGGGCCATTGCATATTCTCACCTGGGACCCAGGACCCAGGGCGGGCCGGATGGTGAGATGGAGGTGAGGGGTTGGCTCTGGGAGGAGTTGACTGAGTGGCTGGGATGACCCTTCCTCTGAAACAAAGCAGTGCAGTGGGTTGGGGACAGGGAATGTCATCAAGACAACATGCTCCTTGGCTTATGGGAGGGGAGCGTATCCATGGGTTCACTTGGGGTCCCAGGAGCTTTGCTGAGCCCACACTGGGATTTGGCATTAAGGGATGGAGGGGCTGGGCCTCTTCTGAGCTCTGTCTGGTGGCTTGGTCACTCCGTCCCGAGAATGTCCTGAGGAGAACACTGGTGGGGAACCCTGGGCTGGCACAGGCCCTTTTCGGGGAATCTGTGGTAAAGCAACGCGAAGCAGGCGGCTGCCTCTAGATGTCGCCAACTGGCCGTGTTGATGTCAGCTGCAGCGGGAGCCGAGGAAAGTTCCTGAGAAGCTGAGGCCCCAAGGCTGAGCCGTAGGTGGATCAGGGTCTCCCCAGAACTGCAGCCTGGAACACTCTCAGGAAGCCTCACCAGACCCTGGAGGTCCTTGGGGTGTGGTGTGGGGGCAGGACCCTGTCCTGTGATCACTCAGGTCTGTCTTGTGGGGAAGGAGCTGCTGGGGTCCCAGGGGGGCTGCGGGTGGTGGGGAAGTGGCTACCACCTTTTCCACTCTCCCCCGATGTGGGTGTCCCCCTCAGTGGACTGCTCCACAACTCTAAACCCTTCCGACCCCCACCCCCCTCCACTCCCTGCAGCCAGTCCCCGCAGCCACCTCCCAGCAGGTCTAGGCTCCATCCCCTCCTGCCCACCCCCTGTCCCAGCCTCAAGAATGGTCCAAACCACCTTGCTCCTTCCTCACCCAAAACAACAC